CCGATGGCGCCGAGCTGCTTGCGACCCACTGACGGGAAAGCCAACTGTAATGGCGATCAATTTTCGGTGAGTTCCGACGCTAGCAAAAGCCCTGCCAGCCCATGCTGGTGCACTTACAGCGCGCGACATACAACAACCGAGCTCTTTACGAGAACCCGCAAGTGTTTTCGACGACTCCCAACCCGGCGATGAGGTCTCAGCCCGATATCGTCAGCCCGGAGATCATCGCGACGGCGAAGACAGGCGAGCACTCAATGAGGGAGCGTACGGGAGGCCGACGGCAATAGCGGCCTATTTCCAGGTGGTCGCAAAGCACAGGCGAACTGCAGACGCCGAAGCTGACCTTCACGATGCATTTCGTGCGTGCGATATACAACACGACTGAGTCCGTTGCTGGCAAGCACAATCCGTATCGCACACGCGACAAGTAGAGTAGAATAAAGAATGATAACCTACTTGCCTTAGAATCCAGCGCCGTTTTCTGCCCTGAGTCGGACTGAAATATATATACGATAGGCCTGTTGTCTTCTCGGCCGCCATATTGGCCTTCCCAACTGTTGCTGTCACGTGTTGGTCGTGACTATTTTGAAGCCAGAGATATACAGCGCGGTGGTGACGTGTCGAGGCTTGCTCCAGACTTCATGGGTGCAGCGAAGCGCAAAAGCAGCAGCCCACGCTCATCCAAGCGTACACACAAGCACCAATTCTTAGATCGTCGAATCCAGGTGGCCGTGGTCGAGCACTCCGAGCGCGACGCAACGCGAACCATCGCCGGCAAAATACGGGGAAAGACTGAGCCAGCAGAGGAGGAGAAGGACATGTGTTCTGTGGAGAAGGAGGGCTGGTCACCTTGGCAACGCTTTTACCGCTGCCTGCCATCCCCAGGCGGTTCATCTGTAGTGGAGCGTGTTTGGAGACTAAGTGGTTTCGCACGGCACGCTTCCCTCTGTGGCTGCTCCTCAACGGTCTATCCGTTCATCGCACGCGCCTATTGGGCTCCGTTACTCCTTTATTGGGTAATTTTGCCTTAGAGTGTAGTGTTTCGTTTTCCCCGGATGGCGTCCGCCCAAGCGAGAGTTTCCGCTTATTCTTGTTGGCTTTGCCTGGCGATGGTGGTGCCGATGGGCTCGAAGATCGTTGACGGGAGACCCCGGTGAGACTGGGATGAGGCCTGAAACCGGCGTGATGCCCGGAACCGGAGTGGGAGCCGGAGCGTGACCCGGGCCAGGAACCTGAACGGGAACCGTGACGTGAACCGGAACGGGACCTGGAGTAGCACCGCAATATAGATATGGTTGGGGTCCCACTTCGCGCGCTGCGGGAATGAGTCCGAGGCTGGCTCCGGGACCTCGATGCACGCATGGTATGGTTCCTGAGATGACAACGGGATCGAGACCGAGATCGGGACCGGGATCTGCTGCCATCGGATCGACCGTTTGTAGAAAGCTTCGAGGCTTAGTCGTCGTCAGCGGTTGCGTTGAACTGGTTCATTGCTTCGTGACCGTTGTTGGGTCGTGTTGAGTGTGCTCGCTCCCATCGTCGTCGGCGCACCACGTATGGAATGAGGTAGCGTTCTTTACATTCCTTGTCGGCAGTGAGGTGGGCTCCTCCGCAAAGCTTGCATGTTGGTGTGCAGCGGTTGGTGTGCAGCGGTGTTCTTTTTCGGGGTTCGGCACGCTGCAGCCTCGGCAGATAACGTCTCCAGGGTTCGGGCAAACGTCCGCTTGATGGCCGAGCCTATCGCAGGTGTAGCAAATATCTGCCTATGTTGTAGTGTACATTGAAGTAGCGCCGATCCGTATCACTCAAAATTGGGCTCGCGATGTCCATCGAAGGCCACGATCACTGCGGTGGTACTTCCAATGCGCTTGGCAGCCAGGGCTAGTGATACCGGTCATTGACAATCTTCGTATCAAAGTCCGCCGAACCGTCTTGCACGGAAATCCCTTGAATGATGCCTTTGCATGTAGAATGTGGTGCCGCTTTGTAGGCACTAACTTCATAGGTCTTGTCAGCGATGCGGATTTCTTTAACACGCACGTAGCGATTAGCATTTTCTCTCTTCGGCGTGCTTGCCACTAAGATATTCAGTTTAATATTGGGGTAGAGTGTGTGTGATTGCTGTTCCAATGGGCTGATACCTGCGGAAGTCGAAATGGCTTCAGCGATTGTCGTTGGGCCAACCCTAGCGATGTTAAGACCCCCGCTGGTTCTAATGATGATGCGCATGTCGTGCTTTGGTAGTTGAGGCATTCGGCTGGCTCAAACAATTTTCTTCTTCACATTTTCTCTGTTGCGGGGCTTTTGCTCGTTGCGTTTCGAAGCACTATATGACGGCGCACGTTTGGAGCCTTCATTTTGGGGTAGCGCTCGGTTACACGAGGCGGTCGCCAGCCTTGGTCTGGTGTGATTTCCTTCGGGTCAATGTCTCCCCCTGTCACTTGGTACTCCATCGCTAAGCGAGATAGTGAAGCTATGGGGCGCGCCAGCAAGCATACACGTCCTTTTTGTGATTTTGCTCAGGCGGCGACAATCGACGCAGAAACGTAGGATTCCATTTTTCTTCTTTACTAACACCACGGCGGACGTCCATGGACTCTTAGACGGCGGGATGATGTCATCCCGTAGCATTTCTTCAACTTGTCTCTTTACGGCTTCGCGTTCTTGCGTCGAAACCCCTTACGGACTCTCACGAAGTGGCCTCGCATTTTCTTCGATTATGATGCGATGTTTTGCGATTGGGGTTTGCCGAATTTTCGACGACGAGGAAAAGTAATCTTCGTATTGCAGGAGCAGTGTTTTGAGCTGTTCTTGCTTATGGTTCGAGATGCTGGGATTGACGTCGAAGGCTGAGGGAGGGGCTTGGTTCCTCTTAGAAGGTTCCGCAGAATCGGCGAAAGCGAAAGCACTGGTGGCTTCAACAACTTCTTCGATGTATGCGACCGTCGTTCCTTTGTTCACGTGTTTGTACTCATTGCTTGAATTCGGGAGCATAACCGTTTGCCTCCCCGCAGCTCGGAAATTCCTCTTGCGACGCAAATATTGTGGGTGACCAACAGATGCTGACTGCCTACAACGACGCCTTCCAAGTCAGGTGATTTTGGAGCGCCGGCTGAAATAATGACACTGGTGCGAGGCGGAATGGTAACTTGTTCTTCCAGTACATTCAAGGCGTGGTTCCCTGACGGCGTGTGCGGCGGCAGTGCTTCTTCTGTGTATAAAGTTATCTACTTTGTTCTCAGGTTGAAGACTGCACCATGGAGGCATAAGAAGCCCATGCCAAGGATGACATCTCTCGAGCAACGCTGTAGGACTACGAAGTCTGCGTGATATAACGGCCGTTAATGGTGACTCTCGCTGTGCAGATTCCTGCAGGTGTTACTAGATGACTTCTGGCTGTGCGGATTTCAGGGCCTTCCCAAGCTGTCCTAACTTTCATCAACTTCGCGGCGAACAACCCACTGATGATGGAATAGTCAGGTTGATATGCCCGGGGAGGGGTTGAGGCTGCCACCCAGGATCCGGCGAAGGACGACTCTTGCGACGCGTCTCACGAACAAGTAGAAGATGTGTTTAATTTACATATTTGTAAGAGAAGTACATTGCAACGAGAGCGTACTGACGCGCCTTTCCATCACAAGGGGCCAGAGCGCACTCGAGACGAGCGGGCCAGCGAAGTCCAGAGAGAGAGAGCCCAGCACACTCCCGACACGCTCCTTTTATAGCCGTCCGTGCACGCGCTAGACGCCGACTGCGTACAGCAGGCCTGCCGATGCGCGTTCCTCGCAGCGCGCCAAGAGATTTCCCGCGTTCCTGTGGAACGCGGACAGCGTATGGCAGGTACGCCGATGAGCGTCCCTTGCATGTCGGTTCCTTGTATTGCCGGTTATGACAGCTCGTCCGCCGTCCGAAGAGGTCACGTAAGGGCTGCAGTGGTGCTGCTCCCTGAAGTGGCCGTAGTCCGTCTCCGTAGACGCAACACTGTCCACCACAACACAGAGACACTCACTACATAGCAGGTCTTACGATAGGCGCACCTCGACGTCGTAAAGAGGGCCAGCACATCACACGCTTGGTCACAGCATGGGACTGTCCACAGCTGCAAAGGCCCCGTCACCGCTGCTTGGTCGTCCACTGGCCGAAGGAAGCAGGAAGCCCTACCGAAGGGCCACAGTCCGCAATAGCTGGTTCGTCGTGTCCACCATGCCATGCTGTTGGACCGGTAGGCATAGCAATCTTCTGCCTCCCTTTAGCGGGGAAGACGCTCTCAAACCGGACACCCACACTGAGAACACTCAGCTCTCCCAAGAATCACCAGGTGTAACTTGCTGCAAGGCTCGTAATTTATTGCACAACAGAAGACTACACTATGGTGGTGACCAAGTGAACTCGAACAAAGAAGTAAAAACGCGCGCACACACGCACAAGGCTAAATAGTAGCGCTTGCGTCTGACAAAGGACTCAAAAGAATTGTACAGTTCCGCGTTTCCTTTAGCTCTTCAGCTACGGAAAACCTCGGCTCAGGCCATCGGCGTTACCGTTGTCTCTGCCTTTGCGGTACTTGAGCTCAAAGCTATGCTCCTGCGAGTGCTTTGACAGCTTCTTCCAGCTGATATCACTGCCAGAGTCAACCCGGCCCAACACACTAGTGCGCTTCACTTCGACATGCGATGCTGCAGTTGCACTTGTGCTATCACCTCCAATGCTTGATTCACTGTCAGCAGTGTGACTTGCTACTTTTTCACTACGTTTGAGCTTGGGTATTCGCGGCAACTCCGTGAATACCCAAGCTTGAATGTATTGTTCAATGTATTTGCTTGAATGTATTGTTTGTATCCCACTCCTGCATGGGCCCGGGTAGGGCCAGCAGTATCTGTAAATAAAAAAAAACTCTGAAATGTTGATGCGTGGTGCCAACTGAGCCAAGACATCAGCAGTTGTCTCTACCTCCTTTCGTCGTCGGCTTGAAGATGACGGAGACCTTTCTTCAACAATCTCACCTTCTTCACGGTCCTCATTATTGCTGTTCGTCCACCGTTGACGCCGGTGCTTCCGATGCTGACAAGTTTCTTTCTTGTGCTTTGTCTTCCGCTTCTTATGCACTGGGCATTCACTGTCCTTTGACTCTTGTCGCCAAGGCTCCTCCTGCTTCCTGACAACAGCTTCAAGATTGTCCACCAAGCCATCTGTGCTACCAGGCTCCGATATATCCTCCATGCCATTACTGGTATCTTCAAGAAGGCCTTCTTCTTCAGAAGAAGATATATCTTCAGTATCAAGGAGGTTGCCCAGGAGGACACCCCCATCATCTGCCTCTTTAGACCTTTAGACTCCTCTGGTGCAGGGGAAGCGATGTCGTCACTTGGTCCACCAGCTGCCAAACTGCTGTCTTCCAGCTCTTCCCCCTCCTCTTCTTCTGGTTCAGCCTCGGGACTTTCAATTTCCTTTGGCGAAGATGCATTGTCCTGTGTGTCTTCTTCGTCGCCTTCATTGATGTCTGCGATCCCCTTTTCGTCGTTTTCTTGCCCATCTTCACCTTCTCCCGAAACCTCTGCTGATTGCTCATCTGCTGGCACTTCTTCAGAAGAGACAGCTGCCGAGGAGTCCTCTCCACTCTCAATAGGTGATGCCCCAGGGATCACATCTTTCGTTGGCGATGCCGGCCCATCAACAGGGGCAGGAGGAGATGGTGTCGCTTCTAGTGGAGATGATGGACTTTCTTCAGCAGGGGGAGACGCAGGCGCATCATGCATGAAGGAAGAGTCCTCTTCCGTAGGGGATGCTGGAGTGTCTTCTACAGGCAGTGAACCTGTTTCTTCCTCTTGAGGGTTCATCTGTAAGCTTTCTTCCTCTTCAACTTGAGGCTGCACTTCTGGTTTTTCTTCTTCCCCCTCTTCCTCTACCCCCTCCGCCTCATCGCCATCTCCTGCTTCATCACCACCATCATCATTTTCTTTGGCTCCATTACTTTCATCTTCACCCTGTTCACCATCACTTGAGTTTCCATCCTCGACAATTTCCAGCCCACCCTCTTCATCTGACACTTGTGATGCGCCCTCATCGTTCTCAGGGGATGGGCTCCTCACATTGTCCGTTTCCAGGATGGGACCTTCCTCCTGGCTGTCTTTGTAAGGCTGCAAGAGGTCCCTCATGGTCACTCGTGCGCCTGCCTGAATCTCGGCATTTTCTGTTCCCAGATCACTAGCGCCTTTTGCCTCTGCAATCTTAAGCTGAAGCCGCAAGCGCTCAAGCTCCCTTTCTTGGCTTTCCGCTTCTTCTTTGCGTCTTATGGTTTCTCTTTCAAACATAAGGCGCTCTCGCTCTTCGACTTCTTGTGCCCTTTTCATCCTCTCCTGAATTAGCTCCCAGCACTCGGCGAGCTCCTCCGCATCCGCGCCAGAATCCTTAACCGCCTGTATTAAAAGTGGCTTTCTATGTATACTCGCCACCTCAATCCCCAGCTCCTGGCACAACAGCACTAAATCCGGTTTCCTCAATTTGTTCAAGTCCATGGTCACCCCGTGCAGACTTCCGTTGCTCAAACTGCCGTGAAGGTACTTCTAATAAACCCGATCCTTCACAAAGCAGCAACTAATATACCTTTTTGGATAAACATCACCATCTATCCAAAACACCTGGCAGAATCTCTACGGAAAGTGAGCACCCACCAGCATCGGTACCAGGAAAGAACACGAACCGATCCCGCCGCTGCCAACCAGTTGATATACCCAAGGAGGGGTTGAGGCTGCCCCCCAGGATCCAGCGAAGGACAACTCTTGCGACGCGTCTCACGAACAAGTAGAAGATGCGTTTAATTTACATATTTGTAAGAGAAGTACATTGCAATGAGAGCGTACTGACGCGCCTTTCCATCACAAGGGTCCAGAGCGCACTTGAGACGAGCGGGCCAGCGAAGTCCGGAGAGGGAGCCCAGCGCACTCCCGACATGCTCCTTTTATAGCCGTCCGTGCACGCGCTAGACGCCGACTGCGTACATCAGGCCTGCCGATGCGCGTTACTCGCAGCGTGCCAAGAGATTTCCCGCGTTCCCGTGGAACGCGGACAGCGTATGGCAGGTACGCCGATGAGCGTCCCTTGCATGCCGGTTCCTTGTATTGCCGGTTATGACAAGGTCCAGTATTGATGAGAGCGGTCACACTGTGGCCATCGATAAGAACGTCGAGGTCGCTAGCTCACCGTCTCGCGCTGCAATTAGGCCGTGGCGTCGGGTCACGGCTGCGTCAGCTTGTCCCGCTGCTTCCCTGTTGCGGCGTCAGGTCTCTTTCAGTAAGTGAAGTTTCGTCGTCAGGACTTTTCCTGGTTGGCGTCGTGTTCGGAAAGCTCCGTCGCGGCATCGTCATCATCGGAGGAGGATCTTCGGTAGTTCGTCACACAGCAACCAGACCTCCATCGGTTGCTGCCCTTCGTTTCCCGGATAAGGGCTAGGAGACCAGCCCCGCGTTGGGCCAGAGCATACTGCCGGTGGTGCGGTGAAATGCAGCGGATGGGCGACGGTGAACGGGAAAGACTTTGTGGTGTCTATTGTGTTTCTGCCAGGTAGTCGGCGATGTAACGTGGCCGTTCCCCTTGTTGCGGACCTGGTACATCGACGGCAAAGCCACACAGTCCCATCTGTGGGTACTGGCAGTGGCGGTAAGTGTGGCCAGCTTACCCGCAGTGGTAGCAGAGTGGGCGGTGATCGGGGGAGCACCATACACCTGTCTTCCTCGGTGCGTTGTGCCGGCCTGCAAGTGGGTGGTATGGCGTTGGTGGTGGTGGTGGTGGTATCTGGCGGTGGAACTGCGGTCGTATGGCGTCTTGACGTGGGCGCGGTGGGGGAGCGCTACGACGCACTGCAGCAGCGTAGTTCATAGCCTCCAGGTGAAACTGCGCTCAAGGTTCGGGAATTCCCAACGCTTGCTGAACTTCTTCCAGAACAATGTCAGTGATCGAGTCCACTCGAGGCTGTGATTCTAGAAAGATCTTACGCAGCTCTTCATGCACAACCGCGTGGATGGTCTCCCGCAGATCATCGGCTCTGTGGGCTTGAATGACGGCGTAGTTCATTGTCGTGGAGCAGCGGTCATACTGCCTTGTCCGCATCTCGAGCGAATTTTCTATAGTTGTAGCTTCCACGAGGGACTCCGCGACCGTCGTACGTGGATTGCGGATAAGTCCTGCGAATAGTCCTTGTTTAAAACCCCGCATAAGCAGCCAAACTTTTTTGTCTTCGACCATGTCAACATCGGCAAGTCGGAACAGTCGGGTCATCTCTTTCGTGAAGATGGCGACTTTTCATTTGGGAGTTGCACCATGGTTTCCAGCAAGGAAGCGGCCCTCTCTTTGAGCACGATAATCGCAAAGGTGTGCAGGAGTGCGCTGCGGGAATTGTCCCAGGTTTAGAGTGAAGACTCTCTGGTTTCCGACCATGTTTTTGCGGAGTCTTCCAAGTAAACGTAGGCATGTCGCAGCTTGTCCTCGGTGCTCCAGTTGGTAAACGCAGCGACACGGTCGTATATCTCAAGCCAATGTTCCGGGTCTTCCAGAGATGTACCACGGAAAGTTGGTGGCTCCTTGGGTGGCCGGAGCAAAATCAGTACAGGTTGCACAGGAGCTGTCATTGTCGCCGTGTCTGAGGTCGGGAATCTGGTCTGTCGGGTATCAACTGGTAGAGACCCGTACACTGGTGGCGGACCCGGTTGCCGGCGGCTTGTTTATTGCTCGGGGCTGGCGTCGATGTACCCTTTCCGGCTTGGGCTGGGTTCACGGCTTGATGGGGGCGTCCGGTACATGAAAGAGGCAGCACCTCCACCAGATGTCACGACGTCATGACGTTGACGAAGGGAGCACACTTCAGGTCGAAAATGGAACTGTTTATTTGGGCCGAACGTGTGGCCACGCAAAAGGAGTCAGATTACAGCAGGTCCCTGGCACTGATAGCCGTGAACAGAGCATCGGCCGTCGATCAACAGACAAGCGGCGAAGCGCGTCGGCATTTATACAATTGCCATCAAATATTCTAGCGTTGCCACTAGCGGCGACGTAGGTTCCGGGAAAATCTGTTATGTGCACGAAGTGGGCGTAATCTTAACAAAACGATCTGCTACAGCCTCGAAGCTTCTCGAACATCGTAGGCGCGGTTTGCGCTGTACGTAGTGTAACGGGGCGATAACAAAGCTTGAGAAAGGAACGTGGCAATATTGTTCTTCACGTTATACTCGTACTCCTTCAACCTTATATTTACACACCTCCCTGTTTGACTCGCTCATGTTTTTCTACAAGACAGCGGAATCGAATACACTACATTTTCCGTATATTGTACAAAGCTATAGGTGTACGATTTTTTGCGCAGAGTTGCGGCTTGCTTGTGGGTTTGTTTACTTGCGCACACATGGACTACAGTTTTCTCGGTGCAGAGAATGGCATTCTGATGTTGGCATGCCTCCCTATTTTTTTTCAATTTGTGCATGATTCCATGCATATACGATATTACAGTACACTTTTAATTTTTGTTGCGATTTGATTTTGATTGGCGTTCCTGGGTATTTTTTAGCTTTTATAGAGTCAGCGACAGAAATTAAGAGATATGGTGGATAACCGGCTGCCTTAAGGCGTTCTAGCTGTTTGCTGGAGCTCTCTCAAAGTAAGTGGCAATATAGCACGTCAATCTGGTCAGCAGATGACCAGAATGACGTCACTATTCAAACCGATCATTGCAGAGGTCTATAGCTCTTCCGCGTGCGTTAACGTATATGTGCGACATACGTGCTCTATTTGCAAACGCAGCCCACACATGCACCCGCTTCACGAAGTCGGTTCCTGCTTGATATAACTTCCTTGTATTGGCGCTCACTCAATCCGGACGTTTCAGAAAAATATGGCAACTGTGCTTTTCCGCGTTTTGGTTTCACCGATAAATTTGGGCAAATTAAATTATTCGTAAATTTTACTAGAGGTCGCTTTTTTCTAAATCTCAAAGATGCAATGGACTTTTCGCATGAAGGAATTCAATTTTTCCGCTTAACATCTTTTGCCTATATTTTAAAGTTTTGTTGAAGTCTCAACGCTGTCCACGAAGGTATATTCTGAGAACGTAAGAATGTCGTTATTTTGGGTGATTTAAACATTGATTTACTTGATGATGCTACCAATCGCATTGAGTACACAAACTGTATGTATTCCTGGGCGCAGTATAGCATGCTCATTGATCATATTCTCTTTAACTTCATTTGACCAGAAAATTTGGGTGTTTTTCAGGTAAACATTATATACTGAACATTATGCTGTTTTCTTTCCCTGCCACATTGGTCTAGAGGCTAAGGTACTCGGCTACTGACCCGCAGGTCGCGGGATCGAATCCCAGCTGTGGCGGCTGCATTTCGGATTAAGGTCGAGATGTGGTCGGCCCATGTGCTTAGATTTGGGTGCACGTTAAAGAACCCCAGGTGGTCGATATTTCCGGAGCCCTCCACTATGGAGTCTCTCATAATCATATAGTGGTTTTGGGACGTTAAGCCCCACATATCAATCATTTCTGTTCTCTTTTCATAGTGAAGTTTCATACATAATCGTAATTAGGAATTTTCAAAAACAATTCTAAACAAAGAAAAGTATGTGAACCAAAAAAAAAACAATGTCAACTGGTCTTACATTGAAACCTGCACGGATGACAACATATATAACCTTTCGTCTCGCATTTGTTGTTTTCATGATAGCATCACTGGGGTTAAATACAAGAGGATCTACTCCGCCCCTCTTGATCCACAAAAAAGAAAAAAAAATTATAACAGTCAAACACCATCCTTTCAATATCAAATTAATAACTCGCTACACGCTGTTTTCTCTTTTTTAAAGACTTTTCGTAGTAGTTAAAGATAGCAAAAAGGTAATATAAAAATTACACTTGTTTAGAACAGTAGAAAATTATCAACTTTTTTCTAAACACGAACCAGTCAAAATAAACGGTTACAGAGCTGCTCACCATGCCTTATATCAGCTAATCGACATTGTGAATAAATTCAATTAATTTTACTGCAATCAAGATTCAATAGCCCACCCCCAACGCTGCATCAATGTCGGGTCCACTCTTCTCAATCATTTTACATTTTAAATGCAAAGTATTTCTTAGCGAACTTCGTCGACTTTGAGCGTGTCTATCTATCTATCTATCTATCTATCCATCTATCTATCTATTTATCTATCTATCTATCTATCTATCTATCTATCTATCTATCTATCTATCTATCTATCTATCTATCTATCTATCTATCTATCTATCTATCTATCTATCTATCTATCTATCTATCTATCTATCTATCTATCTATCTATCTATCTATCTATCTATCTATCTATCTATCTATCTATCTATCTATCTATCTAGCCGCCTACAACTTTCAGCTCTCCTGGACGTTTCGGTAATGGTATTGATACCAAACTTGGCATGGCATTACATGACTATACGAAGAACATATTTGACTTGTCATAACATGAAAATCATGATATGTATGTCAA